TGATATTGTTTTTAAATTTTTCATTATATATAATTAAATTTTGGTCATCATATATTTGCATTTAAAAAATTGCTTATATGCAATTTAATTGTTTATTGAAATTTATCATAACAGCGTAAGGGCATTTCTTTTCGTTAAAGAATTAGAGATAATGAAGACTTCTTCCAATTAGAACTTTAGATAATGCAGACTTTCTTCTTTTCTCAAGTTCATTAATAAAATTTTAGAACTGAAAAAAAAAAGAATTAAAATATGAAATCTATATCATCCGAAATCTAAAAGCTCTAATTAAAATTAGATAAAATTAGATACAATATGTCATAAATTTTTTCATAAAACAGTTATTAAATATTATTAATGTTATCTGTTCCAAAAGTGTGTGCATGTTTTAAAGTTAGCTTTTTTTATTCTTATTTTTAGCTTAATTTGTAATTGCGTCTAATTTTTAAAACCATTATTTAGAAGAATAATATGCAATGAAAGTTATATAATAATTGCTGCAATAAACTTCACCTGATGACTATTATTTCAAATATTTCAGTACGATAAATGAATAAATTTTATTCTGTCTCTCATTTGTTTGTTTGTTTATTTCTGCATTTTGCTAACTTTATAACTGCATATATCGAAAAATGGTTTAGTACATTCCTATACGAAATGAATGTTAAAGTTTTTATTGTAATAATATCAATTTTGCGTATTGTTGCGTAATTTATATTGCAAATAGTAATCACTTGCGCAAGTACAAATTTTTGCAATTAGTTGCAATAAAATATGGCCGTGCATATATATAAATATGTTATACAATTTATAATTGTTACAGAGTTATGCTAAATATGTACAAATATTTGTGATAAAATTAATTTAACTTTTAGTTCTCGTACTTACAATAAAAAAAATAATGAATGTGATTTTTTATACTGAAATAAATTCTCCCATTTTACTTTTAATTATAATTTATATTTCTTTTATGCTTTGAATTTGACCAGAGCTTAAATTGTGTCGGAGCCAGTCTCCGGTGCTTCTCAGGTTTCGAGATAAATCATAATTTTAGCTGGAGCGCTCCGAAGCCTTAAATAAAAAGGGCTCCAGTACATTTTTTAGGTAAGTGATACACAATTACAGCAGACAAATTTTGCTTGGGTAGTAAATATGTTTAAAAATCGATTCTAAGTTCTGAATGCAGGCCTGTGATTCCCTTGGACTCAAACCTTGCGCAGAAGTCAAAACTTTTAAGGAAAGTAAAGCCCCCACCCACTTGTCAGAGGCTTATTCTCCAAGGTATAATGAATTTGTGAGAGCAGGTAAATTTTGCATTCTTAAAAATACTCTTGAAAGTGATCTTCCTTGCATGTGCCGTGCTTGTGACTTCCTACTGAAGAGCTTCTGTAGACTTGTTAAATGATCTAAACAAACATGGAGACCAGTACTGTCACTCGTACACAGGAGTCTTACGTTTATTCTCACTTTGTTATCACATCGTATTCAGAGAAGATTTCTGCTTTGAGGGCTAGAATTATACTTACGATTAGAAAGCATTCGACTCTTCCCTCTTTATTTTCAAAACTACACTTTTCGCTAAAATTCCCTTCCGTACTCATACTGTTTCTAGAATTCTCACTATTCCCCTTAGAGACGCTTTAATCGTTTTATCTTTTTTCATTGGTGTGCTGAAAAAAAAAATTGTATCTTTTATCCTTTGAAATAGTAAATTACACGTATAATCAGTGCTTAATTCATATAAAGATCGGCTGAGCTGCTTCTTCGCTTCTGAATGAAATATGCAATTCTAGTCGGTGCCCTAAACAAGACGCCGCCCGATAATTTTTTTAACTATTTAAAATTAATTAAATAATTTATTAGATTTCTCTTTATCTCTTTACATTTCTTATAATTTCAGTTTTTAAATTTTTAGTTATTTTATTTGTTTGTTTCTTCTTTCTTTGCAGTATTTTTTCTCACATTAACCCATAGGGCTTCGAAACTTCTAATTTTAGAAACTAATCCCTGACTTTGACACATCCAAGATTGACCACTGTTTTGTGACTTTTCCTGGAAAAGTCTTTCACTGTTTACTCATCCTGGTAAATACCACCTGATACTAACTAGACCACTCCAAGAGATAGGTTAGCAGACTAAACGGTATTTATTTCAATTTCAAAAATACATATATTTACAGTTACGCTGAGTATTATATATGTGAAATATTTTACATCATACATACATAATTGCATAGCATAAAAACCATTTTACGTGAGTGCATGATTCTAATCATGATACATAAGACTAAAATAATCACTATTGTGACGTCAGCCGATCTTCCGTTGATGGAAATACTAAGACCAACTGTCTTTTTAAATATTTATCTTGAAATTTGACGCAAGTATTCTTGGTTAACTAAAAGATAAAAATAAAGCTCAGTTACATAAAGGGAAAAGCAGCAGCTTTCTCGTCGCATGATGCGACTTACTATTCCGGTATCCTTTCAGACAAAAGCACTTTTTTACCTTTTTCGTTTACGTCCTAAGAAAACCGCACAAGGGAAGGGTGTACTTACCGAATTTTTTCCTTGGTCACTTTCCGGCGGACCCGGAGCTTTCTCAAGAGAAAACAGGAAGTTCTCTAATATTATTCGGATATGTTACATTATAGCTAATTCCATGATGTATAGTCCATGATAATCATGATGCATAAATCAGAATCATAAGTCCTGAAACATGCTGGTACATCGAACTTTGTCTAAGGTTGTTCATTTTTTATTATATCGCTATTATACTGCGTCTCATAACTGAAGCGTAACGTACCGCGTAATGGTTGAAAATTTCACTTAATTTCCTTTTAATTTTGCCAGTTCAAATGGGTTTGTCTTCCCATTGTGGCCAATATTGATCTGTTGAAGATCGAAGATGATTATTGGTTCTAGTTGCAGTTGAATACAGAATAGTCGAGGTCGCCGACCTTACCAGATTGACAGTATTCCAAATCTCCTCGCTCAATTCTTTTTAGTTAAATCTTTTAAGATAATCATTTAAGATATAATTTTGAATCGTCTAACTCAAATCTTTAAAGATTTATTTTATGCTGTACACACTCAGTTTATACTGTACACACTCATACAATATCATCAGATGTATTAAGGCTAAATAATTATTTGAAGGACTAAAATTAAGAACTTTTAATGGGTTTTGCAATATTTTAGTTTGATGACAGTTCCATATACACACAAACATATATACAGGGTGCTTGGATATCTATCTGGGAAAAAGGTAAAGGCACACATTGAAGATCAAAACAAGAAGATTTGTAATGACATGTATGAGCCCAAACAGCGAGTTGAGGTGATACAAGGCGCAACGGAGAGGAAAATAAAAACGTTTGGTGTAAATGGTCATTCCCAATGCAGATTTCAAGCAGCACACATCGTTTCCATAAACGCAAAGCTCGTAATAAATTTTAGTAGCTACTTAAAAGAGGTACAATGAACGATTCCCTTTTGAGCAGCTACTCCGTTTTCATCTGCAGCCTTACAGATAAAATGCATGTCCGAGAGCAACGCTTTCGATTAATGATGCATACCACTCGAAATCCGCATGAGGAATGACAATTCACGGCAGCAGAAACGCTTTTATCTACCTCTCAGTAGCGCTTTGCACCACGTTAACTCTAATTTTAATAGGAATAAATGGATTTCTTAAGCGCTGCCGAAATCATTTTGAAAATACCATTTAAAATGCAGATATCAACAGCAGAAAGAAAAATATACTTAACTGCGTTACATGGCTACAAAATTTTATGATCTTTATTAAGTTTTATTCATGACTCAGACACTAGTGTATAAGTAGAGAAGTTATAAAGAAAATCTATAACCGAGATGCATGGCTAGAAACGCTCTTTTTAATTGTATTAATGATATAACTATAAGTAAACATGTTATTATTGAAAAGTAGGAAAATATTAATAAAGAAGTTATTTTATTTTTTATACCTTAAATTACTACCCTGAAAAGCAATGCTATAAATATAAACAGAAGGGTTGATTGAGTTAGAATTTTTTAGTGATGTTTTGCCAGACGCGAAATATTACGAGGATTTCAAAATAATTTATGTCGTCTGAAAAATTAATCTCCCCCCATAAGAAATGTAGATAGTAAAATTGTGTTAAATATAAAAGAGAACCCCAGTAGCTAATTTAAAGATATTCTTTTTGTTGTCATCTAAAAAAACAATAACATATCGAGTATGGAATGTTATTTTCTGTGTGAACAATCATTTTAATATACAGAACAACTATTTTAATATACAGATCGCTTGCTCTTTCTAGACTAATTAAAATTACATTTGTGTTAATTAACTTGTATGATTTTAATTTTTGAGTTTAAAAATGTAAAATAATTATACAGTAGACCACATATTTTAAGAAACTATTATTTTAATTTAGAATGTGTACCATATATAGATCAGCCTACATGATTTAAAAATGTATATTTTATAACTTAAATGAAAAAGCAATTACATATTTTAAGTAGGCCAACTGGTTTTTATTTACTGAGTCACCATTTAGCAATAAATATTTCTTTTCTAAATACAGACTGAACAAATAATATAACGTAACATCAAGGAATTTTTGTCTTACAACATACACAACGTTATTGCAATTATTTTCTGTTAGCCTTCCAATGTAGTCGAATCAGAAACACTTTAATTAAACAATTCTGTAGAAAAAAGGGTGCTTTAATTTACCGAAATGTAGTTAGTTAATAGCTTTGTCTACATAATCTTTGAAGTAAACCTAATAACAGAAAGGTTAAAATTCCTTTGCTTGCATTACCATGGGTAGGTATTTAGCCTGAAACAACATAAAACAAATGATTTTTTAAATATTCCGATGGACTGTCATTTCAGTTAGTCCGATATTTTGAGTTGCGCACCTTGGAAATCATAATTAAGAATGATCTTTTTCTAACACTGCCTTAAATAATTAGATTAAAATTCTTTTTGCAGCTATTTTTACCCAAAATGGTAGTTGGACTCTTCAATTTCAAAAGTTCTCGGTGCCTGAAGTTCACGTGGACGGTGAACAACAGTAAAAATGGAGAGCCCAAAGATCACGAAGGGGAAAACAAATGTAAGTTTCTTAAAATATATTTTCTGATAATTAATAGTTTATCGCGATTAAAATTAAAAAATATCCTTTGCTATGATTTTTGTTATTTCTATGCGGAGGGGCCCACCAGCGGCCGAGCGGTAAAGCGTGAACATGGTAGTGCGGTCGAGTTAGAATCCAGCGAACGGGCTGGCTGCATGGTGTTTGTGGATTCACATGAGTAGCGGTATACGAGGCAGTTTCCCTTAGAAAGTCCTCCACGAAGGCATCCCTTCCCTTAAGCAGATAGCCCTAGTGTGCTTGGCCGTCATTAAATACAACAACAACAACAAAATCTATGCGAAGGAAAAAATGGATCTGGAATTGTGAAACCAGATATTAAGCGAAGCATAAAGTACCAGCTGTCAGTGTTAAAATACTTGGCAGCAACATTCTCTGCTCCCAACAAGTCAAACATTTGAAAGTAGTAATTTATGTGTCTGACTCACATATGGAAGCATGAAGTCATGCATGACTCACGTAAGGAAATTTCATACTACACATTTAAATATGCCCACCACAAGTGTAGAACGCAGCAAATATCTTATCCATCACAAGTGGATAAAATACTACAGGTAATTCAACTTGGTTTCGGATACCGACAAAATGACTGGTTTCAATACCAGCCAGTTTCCTTTAGAAAGGTTCCACAACGCATTGATAGTCTTACAAAGAACGGATTTCTAGTGAACGGACAGCCTGCCTGGAGATTTTTATGGTCTTCTTTAATGTATAACGTCTATACGAAATATGGTTTTATAAAGAAACCTCTCCTTAGTCAAATAACTTTCGCGTGTTATCCGTATTTAACTAAATAAGCTTTGGATTCCTACCTTCATGAAACAAATGAGTCACCCACCGAAGCATTCCTCTCTTAAGCAGACAGTCAACGCGTGCTTGCTATAATCAACTAAAAGATTTAAAATAGAATATAAGAAAATGCATAATAAATGACAAATTTTGAATCCCTGAAGCCGCATTTACTTGCTTAACTGCTAGAAGAACATTCTTCATGAATTAAGATACTTATTTACAGGATTATGTTGATACCTAATCAACTACGCTTGTTAGTTTGTTTGTGTGATTACGACAAAGCCTCGAGCACTATCTGCATAAGGGAAAGGATGCTTTCGCGGAGGATTTTCTAATAGAAACTGTCTTGTATACACGTTACACATGAAGAAAACCACGAAAACGCGCATGCAGCCAACCCGTTCACGGGATTCAAACGTCGGACCGAACTACCAGTGTTCAGAGACTTTACCGCTCGGCCACTGGTAGTCGCTATGGTTGTTGCATTTCAATTTTTAGCAGTGGTTCTTAGAAAAAAATTCTGAGAAGAAAATTTAAAATGTTAAACTAAGTTTAATCCGTGGTACCTTCAGATAGGAATTATCCACAGAGAATTCAAAACTTGCTTGATTGTCACATTAAGATATATTTCTAACAGAGTAAGATATTTTTGGAAAGAAAGTACTTATTTAGCATATACAGTTCACACGATCATTAATTTATCTAAGTTTTCTTGACTGTTAGTTTAGGATTGCCAAAATGCTGTTCAGTTACAATCATAATGGAAACAATACCAGCATTCCCAGTGCTCATGTAATTCTATTTAACACATATCATTAATTTACATCGTGGTAAAGCTCGTGGTCTTTGAAGCTCGTCATTAAAGTTCATAGCTATATTAGCAGAGGATATTCAACATATTATGCCTTTAAGAATCAAATTTGTATCCTTTTATGTCACATTAAAATATTATTAACAAAATTAATGAGTACTGGAAATCTTTGACAGAAATTCAGTTATAAACAAAATATTGGGGCATATGGAGAATTCATGCCTAATTTGCATAACGTATTCATGAACAGTCACTATGAGCCACAACCCGCGTTGTAATTGAAGCAGCCATGTGAAAAGATGAATAAGATTCCTTATATTCATTTAAAAAAGGTGCGAAAAGGAAACGGATGACTCTAAAGTTAAAATTCTGCACTATAATTCTTTGCGATTATAGAATGTTATCACTTATCTTTAAGACAAAGGACTAAACGGTCAGTAAAATGCGTGAGAGATACGTGATGAGTAATAGTGGTTTATCAGATATTTGTGGGGAAAATTTTAACTGGAATTTGAAGGACATTTATAAAATTTTGCTTCACTGTTGACGACTAGATCCGCTCACAAGTGGTAACAATTCTTTTTAAAAACATCGCATTTAGTTGAGGTTGTAGAGATAATTAGATATTTTGGATAAAAGAAAGACGGAAAAATCAATTGTGCCCTCAATGGGATTCGAATTATGAATCATTTGATTGCCAAATGGACGTAATTAACTATTTACACCAATAGCAAACATGGGGAGGTGGGAATTTCATGTCTTCCTTTTTTAAAGGACGACTGTGTAAAGTCGCAAGACCTAGTCGACCAAATCTATATGTTCACTACAAGTATCCTCAGGCATATTTTAATTCAAACACCCTTATGGAGTTAAGTCCGTGACATTGTCGTCCGTGAATACATCAAAAACCAACTATGACTTCATGGAATTCGAATCATAGTTCTCATTTATGCCGCAAGAGCACGCAAGGTAGGATCCAAAAATTTCTTATAATGTACTCGGCCGACAAAGTCCTATCTTCAAAATCCTCGTTAACTAACTACATCAATAAATAAGATTTATATTTGTGATAGAAACTCAAAGTGTAATCAAATTCTGAATGTGTGATGATTTTACAAAATGCACCAAAAGTGAACAATATTTAAAATTGAACAATTTCACAAAGTAAACAATTCAAAATGCACCAAAAGTGAATAATTTCAGAAATTGGAATAGTGAGACTACCAAACAACCAGGCATTAAATGCAGTTAGTTCACAGTTAGAGCTTCTGCAGTGAAAGTTAAAAGAAATCGTTCTGTTGCGAAAAACTTCGTATATCGGCCAGAGACTCATAAACCGTCAGAAATCATGTTTTTTTTTTCTAATAAGAATGTGACATTCATAATTAATAAAACAAAAGCTGTGAACGTAGATCTCTGACCTGCTTCAAATATCCTTTAGATACTGGTAGTTCAAATCATCATTTTTTCACGCACTTTCAGAATTTCCTTAAAAACAGAAAATTAGATTCCTTTCATTAAGTCATAAATCGGTTATTCCACTATTTTTTTAGCTCAAATTTCTCTTTTCATGAAATTTTTGCAAAATAAAATTTTTAGCTTATATATCGTGGTTGCAAATTCTGTTTCGTATAAGATACATATGTAGCCGAAAAAAACACTTTTCTTTTGTTATATTGCGATGCTTTTTGCGTACTTTTTGAGCACTATCTTCCTAGATGATCCATTTTTAAGAATAATTTTTAAGAATTGCATTTCTGTAGGATCATAGATGTATATGCTTGATATGTAAAATATGTAGCAAACGATTTTAAATATACAGACTTTCCCTTACAGACCGCTGTATCGCCACGTGATAACTAATACAATGATAAATGCAGACCGTAAAGAAACATTCTAATCTTTATTGATTGGAGATGTACTTAATTAAATTACCGTATCTTGGGTCATAGTGATTTAGATTTTAATTATCATTACGATGTTGTTAATACGCCCCTACGAATTTAATCTGTGCTCGGTATGTTCATAGAGTTCACTGAAACGTCATTTTTAGATTGAAAGACTAAAACGCTATCATTTTAAAGATGTACATCAGTGTATCTTCGTTTATAGACTTCACTGTTTTCTTTGCAGAAAATACCGATTTGTATAGGCGTGATGGTAAAACGTGAAGCAGAATTTTAAAAAAGTATATTTGAAACAGAAAAATTAATAACACAGCGGAGTTTCACGATATAACAATTCCGAAAATTTGCATAGAACAGTAGACTAAAGCAACCACAAGCTCTATTCGTACACATGGCGTATGTAATAATTTATATGTGATAATTGAGATACCTCTGATAACAGCGGAGCGTGAACATGATGCAGAACTCACAACCGGCCGGCCGGTTGAATACTTTTTTCTATTATTCATAAAATATTTCTGATGAAGACACGTGCGGCTAAGCCAGTGCGAGGCCCATTGAGCCCGTTCTTCAGTTATTATTTATGTACATCGGTAGCTTTTAAATTTTTTGTATTTTTTGTATCTGAAGAAAGGAAGGGTAGCTGCGGACAGAAATTTGCAAGCAGGGATAAACAAGAGAAGAAAAGAACGATTTCTAAGCGGAAAATTGCTGTAGACCGTTTCATTTAGGATTTCACTTCATTTCGATTGACTAATTTACTTTTCAATTCGCAAATTTGAATACTTTTACTAGCTAATGCGGTATGAAAGTACCTGCGTTTGTTAGCATGATATAAGCATTATGTGATATGAGGAGCATTAATTTTGCAATGACGCAATGTAGAAAAATTTCTTACTATTTTTAGGCTAAGGTACTATTTTTAATTATTAAATATTAATAAGTTACTATTTTTGGGATAGAAAGACGAAATGACCAAATTAAGTAAAGAGTTAAAAGGCTATTGCAAATTAAAATTAATATTTTTTTATTTATATTTTATCTTATACATACACACACTTACATACATACGGCGAACGGGCCGGCTTTCCCCCATGTGCAATGTGTATACAAGGCAGTTTCCCTCAGAAAGTCTCCACGAAGGCATCCCTCACTTTAGGTAGATAGTCCTAGTGTACTCTAGAACCTTTGGTGCCTAGTGCATAAGAACAGAAGAATATATACGACTCAAATCTCTCTATTATGTTCTTGTTTCCGTGCATTATGTAAAACCGATGGGCAGTGAACATGAAGATTTTTATGCTTCAAAGTACGATGTTTATCAAGACTCAGGGCCGGCTCCAGGGAGTGTGTAGCCGGTGTGACCACACCGGGCGATAGAATTTAGGGGGTGGTAAATTTTTAGAATTTAGGAAAGAAACGGCAAGAATTTTTGAGTCGCAGAGTTTGCG